ATTTAATCGTCATCATAATCATCACTACCATCATCATCATCATCACCACTTCATCATCATGTTTTTTCTCCGCCTTTTTAATTCTATCTGTATTGAGAACGTTAAAATCACGATTGTTCCTATTGGTCGGTCGGCAGCCAGTGAAATTACAGTATGACTAACGTCAGACCAATCGGCGTTCGAGATTTAGCTTGGGCTGTAATAAGCTGCTAATTTGACTGTTTCTTATTGGCTGGTTTAAATTGAATAAACTGATGTTAAATGTTTAATTGGTTATGAAAGAGCATTTAATTTTTCACTCATTATCGCTCGGTTTACTTTAAAATCGCATTCTAAGTGATTCGATTTTGATCGTTAATACATTTTTTTTTACTAATCACTGATTTCTGAATCATTTCATTGGAATATCTCTATCGCCATTTTGGCGGACTTTTCGAGTTTTAATTTATCAAATTTTCATTTAATGTGGGATATAGTCGAGAATAAATAATGAGAAAAAAAATTTAATAAAAGAATCAATAAAATTTTTTTCTGCAAAAACAAATTTACAAAATTTTTTTTGCAACGGATTATAAAAACTGTCAGAGAGAAGTTAGTCGTAAATTTTTTGTAATAGAAAAGGTATTATTGTTGTTGTTGTTCTTCTTCTTCTTCTTTTTCTTGTAGTAGTTGTTGCTTGTTGTTGTTCTTGTAGTAGTTGTTGCTTGTTGTTGTTCTTGTAGTTGTTGTTGCTTGTTGTTGTTCTTGTAGTTGTTGTTGCTTGTTGTTGTTCTTGTAGTAGTTGTTGCTTGTTGTTGTTCTTGTAGTAGTTGTTGCTTGTTGTTGTTCTTGTAGTTGTTGTCGTTGTTTAGATCAAAAACAACGATAGTGATAAAAAACCAATGACTGATTGAATTTAACATAGGCGACAGATCAAATTAAGTTGAGGACGATGATGAGGAATAATAATAATGATAATAAAAATAATAATAATAATAATGATAATGATGATGATAATGATGATAATGATGATGATGATAATGGCGATAATGGTGATGATGACGATGACGTAATAGAATATAAAACTGGCTGTAATTAATTAAAATAGTAATTAACGGATTATTTGAATAATAATGATATTAATAATTCATAAGGCTATGACGTCATGTTATCGTCATTCTCACAAACACGCACACACACGCACGCACGCACACACACGCACACACACATAAACCCCAAATTTCTAATTATAGGAAATCTTAATCATTCATTTGACCTCTGAACCGTTACTCTTACTGCCCTGAAAAATATTTAAACCTTCTGAAACGTTAATTTGAATATAAATTATTACTATTAATATTAATAATTTTATTTATTATTATTATTATTGTTGTTGTTGTTTTTGTTGTTGTTGTTTTATGATACTTTTACTAATATAAATCATCGACTTCAACGTTAATAGCATCAGCAACAACGCCAACAACAAAGGCTACTGCTACTACTAGAGCTGCTACTACTGCTACTACATCAACAACAACGCCATGAAAACATTCAACAGTATAGAGCAACAACAACAACAACGCAACAACAACAACAACAACAGTAACAATATGCTTTATTCGTATTACTCCGAAATCAACAACAACAACAACCATGTAGACAGCGCAAACAGCATGCAAACCGACATTCAGACAACAACGACAACAACAACAACGTCTCTTTTCAACAACAACAACAAATTAACGTCCACATCTCCGCTACCACCATCATTCCCGACATATCAAAACCCATACACTACCCAATATTTTGGCTACCAGAGCCCTGCAAACCCCGACATACCAACCTACTTCCCATACTACTACTACTCAACCAACAACGTTAATGGCATGGCGGCCATTTGTAATAACGGTAGTAGTGGTATTGGTGGCGGCGATCCTAGCGGCATAAGTGTTGGTAGCGTGGAGAATGGCTTGATGACAAATCTAAATGGCAATGATGATGAAGATGATGATGACGACGACGACGATGAGAACGATGATGACGCTGCTAATGATCATCATGTTTATTCATCAATGATTGGCGGGTTTCATAGTGGCGTCAATGTAGAAAACGGAAATAGAAAGATACAAAATAATTTAAACAGCAACAACAACAGCGCTAACGGTAATGACATTCATAACAACAAAAACGTAAGCAAGAATAGTTCGTCTCAAAATGGTAGAAATAAAAACAACACAGCCAACAACAACAACAACCTAGACAAGCCAAATTCTCCTAATCGCAAAACCAAAACTATTGAAAAAACAACACAAAGAAAAATCAGACCAAGTAAAACAACATTACACGGCAACAAAAGCATCAACAACAACACTAACAACAACAACAACAACAAAAACGACAACAACAACAACAATTTTTATGAAAACAAAATCAACGACATCAATCTACTAAACACATCAGCAGCATTTTTACCGAACTTACACGAATCAACTGACAACAACAACAACAACACCGACAACAACGACAACATCAACAACAACATCAGCAACAACATCAATAACAACACCAACAACAATTCTTTTGGTATACATGAACTTTTGGGTTTACACGCTGCGTACACGTCATTTTATCCAGTACAAAAAAGATCATATTTAAGCGATCCGACAAATTATTTTTACCACAAAAACAACAACAACAACATCAACAACAACAACAGCATAAATAACAATCACAACAATAATCATCTTCATCACCCTCAGCATCATTCTGATAAATATTTAGATTTTCATCTAAATAGCTCTTGTTCATCTGACTCAAATACTCAAGATGATGATGACGACGACGACGATGCTGATGACGTAAACAATAGCGATGCTACTAACAACCACAACATAAACAGCAGCAACAGCAACATAAACAACAACTTGAATGGTTATCTCAGTGTAGATGGCATATTAAACAACAACAGCAACAACGACAATGAAAATGGAAAAATCAACAACTGCGTCAACATAGATAAAATATTAAAAAAATCAAACGACCAATCATTAAACGTAAACAACAACAACATATTTCATCACAACAACAACAACATTTGCAACAACAATCCCATCACAAACATCCAGAAAAATAACTCTGCCTTCATAAGTTTAACACCAGCATACAACACTCTAAATGGCAGTATAAACAGCAGCCCCATTCATCACAATGGCAACAATATATTAACAGACTCAACAACAGCAACAACAACAACAACAACAACGGATATAAACAACGACGACGACATCAACAAATTTCCACCGACGCCATTTTATCCGCCATCTTGGAAATCGCCAACCTTTTCCGGTTTGTCTACCTTTCACGATGTACAGGATTTCGCTTCGTCCATGATGTTTTTCTCGCAGCCAACTTTGCAGCAACAACATCAGCAGCAGCAGCAGCAACAACAGCAGCAGCAACAGCAGCAGCAACAGCAACAACAACCACAAACAAATCAACTACAACTTCTACACGGCGATAATGCAATGATATTTGGTCACACAACAAACGCTCTTCTATCGCCCGGGTCCGATATGACCATTTCCGGCCAACAACAGACTACTTCCGGCTTGTCTAATCACCTGACGTATGGAGGTGGGGTGGGTAGTGTCGGGCTGCCTTTGAGGCACGGGGTAAGAAGTGCCCTTTCTGGGTTCGGATCCGTTCTTGGGGGTTAGGTTTTCCCGAGTTTGCTGTACTTTTTCAGAATTTTTAAAATTTTATTAATTTTTTTTGTCCGGGCTACGATTATGATGTTGTATCAAACCAGGATGAAAAAATTCGTTGTTTGATGAAAAAATCTCATGAATAAAAATCAGAATAATATTAATTATAATTATAATTATAATTATGATTATAATTATTTCATTTTTAATAATTACGGTGCGGTTAAAATACTCGCATGTTGAGAATTTAAATTGTCTGCAAATAAAACATCCTTAGTAAGAGGAGATTGATAGCATGGACGGAACGGAAGAAAATAAATGGTTGATGGAGAAATTCTTTGATATCAAAGTGGTCATTAAAAATTTGTTAATTACTAATTAATATCAATTAGATGCTGTCTAACTAATTGCGCCCGGAGTAAGTATTTGAATACTATTTTAGTACCTTAGCTACACTGGTTACCTATTATTATTATTATTATTATTATTATTATTATTATTATTATTATTATTATTATTATTATTATTATCCTTTGTAAATTTTATTTGGACTGAACAATTATGTTACGATTTAACTAATTCAGTAATATCATCATCATACGCTTTCTATTGTGACAGACATTCAAATGTATAATAACTATATTAAGACTGATCATATTTCTCGTTGTACGCATTTTATATCTATAATGGCGAGCAGCGAAGACTACTTCCTCATCTTTAACTCATCTATTTTATTTTATTTTACAATATTATTATTATTATTATTAGCGATGTTGTTATCATAATTTTTCAAAACCTATTTATACTTTGCATCAGAGTAGCCTCTAAAAACAGTTCGCTACGTTAGCTCACGTGCACGTGCCTGAAGTTCAAATATATTAATAGTACCCGGTACGTGATTGGCGGAGGTTTTTCTCACGTGATCTCCGCCGACCCTCGCGATTGGGCGGTGTGAAAGTGACGTCATTATTGCGTCATCTTAACGCTAAAACGTGTTGAATTTGGCTACGACTACTACAACAATGATTTAGGTACTTGTGGATGTAGTAGTTGTAGTTGCAGTAGTAGTAGTAGCAGCAATAGTAGTAGTAGTAATAGTAGTAGTAGCAGTTGTTGTAGCAGTAGTAGAAGTAGTAGTGGCAGTTGTAGTAATAATGTCAGTAGTAGTAGTAGTAGTAGTGGTGGTAAATAAAGTAACTGTAAAATGAAATGATAAAAATATAGGAGAAGTAATAGTAATAGTAGCAAAAGTAGTAGTAGTAGAAGCAGCAGCAGTAGTGATAATAGCACACACACACACACACACACACACTCACACACACACACACACACATATATATATATATATATATTATGATTATATAATAATGTATAATAAATTGCATACGCTATATCATTGTACGCCCCTTGCAATAATGCTTTAAGTACCATCAAAAAATTTGTCGTGGCCATTGTTTAGTTTTGTATGTGTATGTGTGTGTGGATGTGTTTGTTTATGTGAGTATGTGTTTATTTGTTTGTACATGTGTGTATGTGTATGTGTGTGTGGATGTGTTTGTTTGTGTGAGTATGTGTTTATTTGTTTGTACATGTGTGTATGTGTATGTGTGGATGTGTTTGTTTGTGTATGTGTTTATTTGTTTGTACGTATGTGTACGTGTGTATGTGCGTGTGTGTGTGTGTGTGTGTGTGTGTAATAATGATAATCGCATTATCATCACAATTAATTTCAAATAGGTAACAACATCACCGTGGACCCATCATCATCGGCATCATCAGCTTACCAAACACAGCCTCATCATCATCACCATCATCATCATCCTCATCTTTCACATCATCATCCTCATCATCATCACCATCATCATCTCAATCTAATGACGTCATCGTCGTCGTCATCAACAGCCGCAGTGCCGCTGCTGAATGATGATAATTATAGTCGGAAGAAGAAGAAAAGAAGAAGGCATAGGTGAGTGTTGTTGTTGTTGGTGCTGTTGTTGTTGATAATGTTGATGTTGTTATTGTTGATGTTTTTATTGTTGAAAATGTTGTTGTTGTTGCTGCTTCTGCTGCAGATTTTGTTGTTTTCGTTGTATTTATTATCGTTGTCAACTACACGACATGGTGTTTTCAGGGTTTTTGGTACTCCATTTCCTGTTTTTTTTTCAGATTTATACCGTTTTCATAATCATCATCATTACCATCGTCATCATCATTATCATCACCGTTGTTACCATCATTATCATCACTATTACCATTATCTTCATTATTATCACCGCACATGGTCATCATAATCATCGTCGTCGTCATCACCATCATTCCAGGGAAAAGATGAAGGTGACCAGTTAAGTTGGGTTGCGTGTTTAAAAGTGGGCCAATCGAGATTACAGACAGATTTTCATTCCTTCTTTCTCTTTCTCTGTCTCTCTCTCTCTTTCTCTCTTTCTTTCTTTTTCACTCTCTCTCTCTCTCTCTCTCTCTCTCTCCCTACCTTATTTTCAATCATCTATCCATCTATCACTTTTTAGATAAAACTCTTTTTTTAACTTTTTCTTTTTCTGCTACTACTAATGCTGCTGCTACTACTACTACTACTACTACTGCTGCTGTTGCTGCTGCTGCTACTACTACTACTACTGCTGCTACTACTACTACTACTACTGCTACTATTACTATTACTACTACTTGCTGCTACTACTACTACTACTACTGCTGCGCTACTATTACTACTACTACTTATAATAATAAATGTTTAACAGTCAAAATAATAATGACGTCATTTCATTTAGAAAAATTATCAACATCCAGGCTTACAATTGAATCTCTCTGTGCAAATATTTTTATTAGCCATGGTTGACCACGTCACGTATTTATGTGTATGAATGTATGTATGTATGTATATATGTATGTATGTATGTATGTATGTATGTATGTATGAATGTATGTATGTATGTGTGTGTGTATGTATGTATGTATATATGTATGTATGTGTGTATGTATGTATATATGTATATATGTGTGTGTGTATGTATGTATGTATGGATGTGTGTATGCATGCATGTATGTATGTTTTTTTGTTTGTTTGTATGTATGTACGTTTGTATGTTTGCCCGGCAAGACATCACGTGACATCTTTGGCAGCATTTTGATTTTACCACTAAAAATTATTCTATACTGTGCCTAATTAGTTTAATTGTTACCGTCATTACATAATGATGGTGATGATGATGATGATAAATAATAATAATTATAAATAATAATAATAAGTAATAATAATTAATAATAATAATGAATTACGATGGTGATGATGACGACGATGATCACGATGCCATCTTACTGTATTTGCAGTTTTTCAGATAAATATTATATTTGTGTTTACCTTACAAGCTTGGTAACGCTGTCATTATGGTTATCATGCATTCATTTCTTTTCTCCTTCATTCGTTAGTTCGTTCGTTCGTTTGTTCGTTCGTTCGTTCATTCATTCATTCATTCATTCATTCATTCATTCATTCATTCATTCATTCATTCATTCATTCATTCATTCATTCATTCACTCGTTACATTACTGCCCGGCTTTTATTTTGTCATAGTAGGCAAATGAATGGATTTGAAAAATTTTAAGTGCCTTTTTGTGCCATTGTTGACTTCAATTACAATTACTTCTAATTGTTATTAATTGAATGATCGTTATCATCAAACAAACAAACACATCAGCATCATCAGCATCTTCACCATCATCATCTTAACCCTCTATTTCATCATCATCATCACCATCTTCATCATCTTCATCATCTTCATCACCTATGTCGTGATATTTTTATTATTACTATTATTAACGTTGTTATTATTAATGTTGTTATTATTATTTTGTTGTTGTTGTCGTCATCAACAAGAAGCAATTGTTTTAAATTAAGTAGAGCTAAATGTAGTTGTTTGGTTTTTAAGATAAAATCACATCAGGGCATTTGTTTGTTTGTTTATTTGATTACCCTTTTAGTCATTCGTTCATTCATTCGTTCATTCGTTCGTTCGTTCGTTCATTCGTTCATTCGTTCGTTCGTTCGTTCGTTCGTTCGTTCGTTCGTTCGTTCATTCATTCACTCACTCGCAAAATCTTCGGCCCCATCTCTGCGCATGAAAAGAGCAGCGAGTTATTAATTATATATCTAGTACGACCAACACAACATGTGTGTGTGTGTGTATATGTATTTGTGTGCGTGTGTGTATGTATGTGTGTGTACATGTATGTGTGTATGTATGTATGTGAGTGTGTGTGTATGTATGTGTGCGTGTGTATGTCTGTGTTGTGTATGCGCTTTCTATGGGAATTTTTGCCTATATTTAGATTGATTTGTATTTTAAATTTGTTAATGTTGATGTTGTTGTACATGTTTTTCACACACACACACGTATACACCAAACACGCACATTCACACACATTTACACACACAAACGCACACACACTCACACATGCGCACACATATAAACATACACCACACACGTGTATATACCTACAATACATCAGATGCTGAATGCATACACTATCAAAGACGAACCTCACATCACAGTAAGTACCTACAAATACAAGAGTTGAATTTGAATACACAGTAGAGTAAAAACATGAGGTATTACGTATATAGCATACGTAATGCAGAGAAATACGCATGGTATTGTATTAGGAAGTAATGCAATGTTGCTTAAAACGCTAAGATGGTTTGACAGTAACACGCGATTTGCGTCTGCGTGTACACGTGCGTGTTGTCAAATGCAATGAGTACAAAATGATAATTATGTCTTTGTATGTTTGTGTGTCTTTGTATGTTTGTGTGTGAGTGCGTGTGTGTGTCTTTGTATGTTTGTTTGTGTATATGTCTTTGTATGTTTGTGTGAGTGTGTGTGTATATGTCTTTGTGTGTTTGTGTGAGTGTGTGTATGTCCGCTTGTTTGTATGCTTGTTTTCTAATGCACGTGTGTATGTGTTATGTTTTCAAGTGTTGGCATGTGTTGTATGCATATTTTTGTAAGTATTTTTGTGTGAATAAAACCATTACACAATTATAAGGATAGGTAAAAAAGATAGAGAGATGAAGAAAGAGAGAGTGAGAGAGAGAAAGAGAGAGAGAAAGAGAGAGAGAAAGAGAGAGAGAGAGGTAAATTGATGAAGAAAGTAAGAAATGGACAAGAGAAAGAGAGAAAGAGAGAGAGAGAGAGAGAGAGAGAGAGAGATAATACTTAGAGAATGACATTTGAATGGGTGAGAAGTACGCATGAATTTCTATTAATATTGAGATGACGTTGTTCCTTGATTTTGCTGTTGTTGGTGTTGTTGGTGGTGATGCTATTGTTGATGGTCTATGGTGATGAAATTTGTTTTTCAATCAATCAATCAACCAACTTATCTAAACACCAACCAACCAAACAAACAGCCAACCAACCAACCAATTAACCAACCAAATAACCAACCAATTAACCAACCAATCAACCATCCAACCAACCAACTAACCAACCAATCAACCAACCAACTGACCAACCAACTAACCAACCAACTAACAAACCAACTAACCAACCAACTAACCAACCAACTAACCAACCAACGAAACAGTCAACCAACCAACCAACCAACCACAGAACCATCTTCACAAGTTATCAGCAAGAGGAGTTGGAACGTTCATTCAAAGACGCCCACTATCCCGACGTAAACCAGCGTGAAATGCTTTCAATACGAACCAGTCTGCCAGAAGATAGAATCCAGGTAGAATAAAATATTTTATTATCAATAAAATTATAGGCGAATTATAAATAAACTGTCATTAATTAATTAATTAATTAAATTATTTTAATTGGTTATTTATTGCTTTTCAAATTTTTACGAAAACCACAAATTTTAATAACGTAAATATGTAAACAGTGGACAGACGAACGCACGCGCACGCGCACGCGCACACACGCACACATACATACACGCACACATACACACACATATACACACACGCACGCACATACACAAAGGTCTGGTTTCAAAATAGAAGGGCGAAATGGCGCAAAACTGAGAAAACTTGGGGGAAAAGTAGCATCATGGCGGAATACGGGTTGTACGGAGCCATGGTACGACATTCCCTTCCGCTTCCGGAAACCATTTTGAAAACTGCCAAAAATGGGATTGAAGGATCGTGTGCTCCGTGGCTGCTAGGTTAGCGGCAAACGTGATTGGTTGATTGATTGATTGGTTGATTGATTGGTTGAGATTTTTTTGTAAATCATTTTTCATCGTCGTCATCAACATAAATCAACACTGTTACCTATCATTGCCTAAATCATCATCACCCTCATCATCACTACTATCATCATCATCACTACCATCATCATCATCATCACTAACATCATCATCATCATCAATACCATCATCATCATCACCAGGAATTCAGAAATCCCAAGTTTTTAACAGGCAGGAAGTGATGGACCAGAAGGAGCAGATGATGATGGCGACCAGCGATAACAACAATAACATTAACTCTTCTAAAGATGATTAGTGGCATCAATCACGATGATGATGATGGTGGTGGTAATGATGGTGGTGGTAATGATGACGATTGCGATTATGATTACGATGATAACGTTGTTATTGCTGACGACGACGATGACGTCATGATGACGTCATGACGAGATTGAAGTGATGTAACCATGGTAATGATATCGGTGGTGATGACGATGATGATGATGACGGCGATTATGATAATGATAACTTGATAGGTATATAGAGATCTCAATATGTAAAGAAACGGTCAATTGTAACTATTCCTACTATCATCATTTATCATTGTTAATGATAATAATTATATCAATTACTATATTATTATTATTAATATTATTATTGTTATTATTATTGTTATTATTATTATTATTGTTGTTGTTGTTGTTATTATTGTCATTATTATACATTTTTTGCTGTAAAAATCAGTGTCCTTATTATATGGCGTTTAAAAATTTGTAGTTTCGATTTATGATTATGTATTTATTCTTTGGTAATTTTGTTTGGATTTTTTGTTGGTTTCGCTTTCGATGTACATTTATTGTTTCTTCTTCTTCTTCTTCTTCTTCTTCTTCTTCTTCTTCTTCTTCTTCTTCTTCTTCTTCTTCTTCTTCTTTTTCAATTCTTCAATTTGTAATTTTAATAGAATAATTCATGAAATATGTACATAATTTATAAATAATGATGATGATAATGATAACAATAATAATGATGGATGGAATCTCGTTCAGTTCGTATAATTTTTGGATTATTATCTTTAATTTTATTTCATATTTAAATAAATAATAATAAAACAATAATCATAAAACAATAATAAAACAACAACAATAATAATAATAACATAATAATTAAACCATGATTATTAAACTATAATAATAATAACAACAGCAAGAAAGAAAGATACAAGAGAATATTAAATGATTTGAACACCCATTGCGAAACTGGATAATGAGAGAGCCTGATGATGATGATGATTGTGCTGGTGATGATGATGAATGTGATGATGGTGATTGTGCTGGTGATGATAATTGTGATGATGATGCTGATGATTGTACTAGTGATGATGATGACGATTGTACTGGTAATAATGATGATTGTACTGATGATGATGAGAATGGTGGCGTTTTTGGCGGTGATGATGTTGAAAATGATGACGAACTGAAGACATTGATCGTCGCCATCAACATTATCATCATCATCATCGTCATCATCATCGTCATCATCATCGTCATCATCATCGTCATCATCATCGTCATCATCATCGTCATCATCATCGTCATCATCATCGTCGTCGTCATCATCGTTTCTCGCCCAAGGAACGATAATGAACGAAAGAAATAAATGAACAAATCAGTGACTGACAAAGTGTGACGCGCCGACGATGCAGCTACTGCTGCTGCTTCTGATATCAGAGATGATGATAATGATGCTAGTGGTGATGATGATGATAAAGAGGATGGTGGTGGTGATGATGATGATAAGAAGGATGGTGATGACGATGTTGATAACGATTATTATAAAAAGGTTTCGGGTAAAAAAAAGATGAAGAAGAAGAGAAGAAAGATGACGATGATGACGACGACGAATAGGGAACAGTTCGACGCCATCGTCATCACATCACGTGACTTGCTTTTTGCACCGCAGTCAAAATAATGAGGCTATTTTTAGGCATTCAGTCACGTGTCAGGTATGTAGTATGCTGCACACACGCGCGCTCTACGTATTAATTTCATAATTGATATTATTACGTGAAATAATGATAATAATAATAACAATAATAATAATTATTATAAAAATAATAATTCGTCGTTTAGCAGGTCGGCGTCATCTCTACGTACCGTATCTAATAATAATTATTATCGGAATAATTGTATATTACTGTTGGAGATACAACGAATACCGGCGAGAAATTTTCATTCGCGAAGAATTAAAAAAAATACGGAGTAGTTGATGAATATTTTTTAAAAATTATCGCAATAGAAATCCAATAATTTTTCACCAGTCGGTATGGACTAATTTCTTCAAACTGTCGATCCTTTCAATGAGTATGAGGCACCTGGTGGCTTCGTCGTTCAGCAGGTTGACTTCATCTCTACGTACCGGCCAGCCATCGCCTTCCAAGATGTTCAGCAGTTCCCTCTTGTGCTGCCGAAACGAGCAGAGTTTGAATTGGAATCTAGAATAATAATGTAATAATATCGTACTTTATTTGATTACAACACATTAAGAAAGAAAAACATTTAGAGAAAGAGAGAAAGTGAGAGAGAGAGGGGGAGAAAGAGGTAGAGGGAGCGAGAGAGAGAAAGAGAGAAATAGAAAAAACTGACACAAAAAGAAAAAGAGATATCCAGTCAGTAAAAAAAGAAAGAAAGAGAGAGAAAGAGAGAGAGAGGGGGAGAAAAAAGATAGAAAGAAACCAAGAGACAGAAAGAAAAAGATGGAGAGCTTTCGATTTATTGGAATGTAAATGACTTACCTTCTGCGCTGCTTATTCGATAAAACATTCCAAATCATCGTGTCCAGACGTCTGAGAATTTATTTTTTTAAAAATCCATTTTACTCACAAAAAAGTGTTTATTTTTTTATTTATTTTAAGACAATAATAATAACAGTAATTCGTAGAAATAATAAAATAATAATGAACTGGTACTTTTCTATTTGCGATTTGCACTGCGTTAGGCCCGTTTCAAAAGTTTCAAAATCCAAATTCTTCAACTCCTCAACGTTAATGTTATTTTCCAGGTTTGTCGCCATCTTCTTGGGCAAAATCTGCACACATTCACACGAAATATATAAATAAATTAATTAATTAATCAATTAATTATTTACTAATTTACTAATTTAATTATTTAATAATGTTGTAAGTCCTTGACCTCGCAACCGACGACACCGATGTTATTACTTCAATGATCTCTATATTTCCGACACCAGTGTTGTAGCTTCCAATGGTAGTCAAGAGTTCAGATAGATGAACACAACTGCTTCAAACGCAAACTTGGTTGAACGTTTATTCGAATACCAACAGTAATAGAAACAATAAACTAATCCAAGTAACTACATTTACAACTTCGCTTTTTTGCTAGGAACCTTGTAAACCTCGACTGCTGAATACGTTCATTCATAGTCATTGCCATTCACAGTCCGATTCTACATTCATAGATACAATATTTCTTTACACTCTATGGTTTTCAATCCAAAGATTACAAATATAAAATAATAAATAATATAGCGCTATTCGATCATTCCCGCGGTTATAGCATAATAGTAAAAATTGAACTATTAACCTTTAGTAATAGCTTTAAGATTTTATCAAAATTTGGGTGATTTCTGGAGCTATCAATTTGTTGGTACCTTTTAGAACCCTCAACATCAGGGTACTTTTTAGCACCCTCGCCACTTCTTTTATCATTACCATCATTCAAAATAACATTTTTCAAAAAGTTATTTAAAGTCAGTCCTTGGGCCAGCAATCCAAAATGGCTCAGCCATTCCTTCGTTGATAATAAATCTGGGCTAATTGAAATTATTTATCTTTAGCTAATAATAAATATAATAATATCAATATAATAATAAAAATTATAATAATAATAATTATTATTATTATTATTACTCAATAAGAACGAGCTTGCTTTCGTCAATACTGTATTTTCTTCTCACGATCGCTATAAATGAATGAATGAATGAATGAATGAATGAATGAATGAATGAATGAATGAATGAATGAATGAATTAATTAATTAATGACTGAATGATATTGTCTGAATACAATAATTTAAAATAGACTTAAATTTATAAAAATTCATACTTGCTGATTTAGATCGAGGTTTGATACTGAAAAAAAAATTATGCGTGCAGATTATGACACAATATCATATCTTTGTATGTATGGATGACGTCATATTCAAACGTAAACATTACTTATTCGCCAGCTGTCTTTGCGCGTGGTTGTTGTTAGGAACATTTGAACATTCATTCTTCAGTGACGTCACTTTTATTAACGTCATTTCCGCCAGTTCGATTTCATCCCTCACCAAATGTATGTCATCACTCTGACGTTGTAAAATATGATCTTTAAATGACTTTTTAAATTTATTTTATGGTTATAAATTAGGAATATTATAAAATCAATTCACTATGTAGTTATAATAAATGTAATCCAACTAATCCATCATCCAACTCTAACTTCGCAGACATCGCAACATGCATCACCATTGAAGTCATCAGTGCTGAATGTATGAAATCTTCCGTTCGATTCGTTGGACAAACTTTTTAAAAATTCCAACACTTTACCCTCCGAGCAGCAAAATGCCATTGTATTGATTGGCGGGCATTGTTTTTGTGACCTGATTTCATCCAATAAGAAGGCGGGAGGCTGTTAGTTAGGTCATATATGATTGATTTTTAAAATTTGTGGTGTTGAAACTGTTTCAGAATGTCTGACTTTGAGTCGGAGTTATATGGTTCGAATAGAAAAAGGTTCTTGGTTGTAATATGTTTATGTGTGTGATGATTTTGTGTGCGTGTGTGCGTATGTGTGCGTGTGTGTATGTAATGATTTTGTGTATGGGTGCGTGCGTGCGTGTTAAACTTCAAATTCACAATCTCAGAAGGTTGTTTAAAAATTCTGAGTAATTTTAAATGAGAAAAAAAAATTATTCATCATCTACTTGATCAGCCAGACCGGAGAGGAGCAAATAAATTCCAGTACATTGGCTGCACTTCAGGACGTACCTCAAACTATCCGCCAGGTTGCAAGAACCGGTACATTTCAAATTTTTAAACCAAAATATCGCCGACTCGATATTCGCTTCGCTAACTTTAACCATCGACTTTTTCCAGAGTTGAGGCGCTGATGATATACCGATTATGTTGAACTTCTGCTTCTGCTTAATTTGCTCCTTCGTTGGAAATCACAATAAAACATTACAAACAACAACAACAACAATAGTAATAATAAAAATAATAACAACAATTTCTACTCAAATATTGATGTAGATTTATAAAAATGCTACTAACTTGGAGTAGTAGTTTGAAATTTTCTTTCAAAAAATTTCCCTGAAAACTCATCCGCTTCGAAACATCGACGAGTATGTAGATGCGGTTCTCGGTTACAACTCCGAATACTTTCCTACTTCCGGTTTGCAGCCATTCCAACCTGCCAATCATATCAATCGATCGATCGGCGAAGTAGAATAACGTGTTGTACATGTAACTATCAACCTCTAGTGTAACTTTCAACAACAACAACAACTACTCCTACTACTACTACTACTACTACTACTACTACTACTACTACTACTACTACTAATAATAATAATAATAATAATAATAATAATAATAATAATAATAATAATAATAATAATAATAGTAATAGTAAAAATAATACTAAACCCAAACCTTGAATTGAGGTCGAGCAGGGCAGTCTGCATCTTGGTCAGGTAGTTCCTGTGGAAGTCTTCAGTTAGGTGGATGTGGACGACGTCATCGTCATGCCATTTCATGTGCACGAAATTACCGCAATACTTTGCTGAAACCGGCCGTCTCTGGATGAATGAATGGATGGATGGATGGACGGATGGATGGATGGATGGATGGATGGATGGATGAATGGATGGATGGACGGATGGATGGATGGATGGATGGTTGGATGGATGGATGGATGGACGGATGGACGGATGGATGGACGGATGGACGGATGGATGGACGGATGGACGGATGGATGGACGGATGGACGGATGGATGAATGGAATGATTGATATCTTGACTGATGATAAATAGATGAATGAATGAATTAACTGGTTGATGAATGATTATTGGACATAAGATCGAAAGATAGATGAATAAATGAATGAATGAAAAAACAGATTAACAGATAAATGTGTAAATAAAAAACACCCGGCAACAAACACCCATCCACCCACCCACCCAACCTTAACCACGGCAGCTCTACAAGCATCCCCCCCATCAAAATCATCTTCTTCATTTTTCTCATCCGCGTGTCTGAACGCCACTTCCGTCAGAGCATCATAAAATAACAATTTTCTCGATTTTAATCCGTGCTTTCTCAGCCAATCAGCCGATGACAAACTAAAATCTTTCGAAAACTTTGTCGACTTTTCTTTCTCTGGCTCTCTTTTGAAACCTTCAAATTTGGGGTGGAATGTTTTTGAAAGAATATGGATGAATGTATGAATGAGTGTGTGAATGATTAAATGAATCAATCAATCACTCCAAAAAGAAATGAAAAAGCGGGAAAACGATCAAATGTAAGAATGAAGAGATGGATGTATGGACAGACTGTTGAACTGGCAAACTAGCGAACGAACGAATAAACGAACGAATGAATGAACGAGCGAACGAATCAATCAATCAACCAATCAAAATACAAAAAATCAGACCAACCTTTATTAAGTTGTCCAACTTGTTCATTGAGTATCGCCTTCACTTGATCCAAATTATACTTAGCCTCTTCAATCTCGTCAAAAATTTCAAGTACCTCTTGGGACATTCCGGCACCTTCCGGGAACCCTCCATGTTTTTTCGTACATGCAACTAATCTCATTTTACCATCATTCCCATCGTTGTTGTTGTTGTTGGTATCGTTTTTCAGCTTATAAGTTTGTAGTTGCAGCACAATCGAGTATGCATGGAATCTTATAAAGGTCGTCATCATCTCTAATTGATTGATCTCTTTCATCATTATTATCACCACCATCATCCTCATCGTCTTCGTCGTCATCACAATCACCGTCCCTATCATCACCAACGACAACGTCATCATCGTCATCACCATCGTCACCAGCAACGTCATCATCATCATCACAACACGAGCAACCTGGTGTCAAAATGATTGCAGATGTTCTTCAGAAACGCCAGTGTGTCGGCTTCATCGCACATGCTGACGACGATGTGGACTGCAGTCGACATCGATGACATCTGTCGAAAGAAATTTATTTTTTTGAATTTTCGTCCCCAATGTTGTTGATCAGCGTGCGTGAAATATGATGAACCCAGCAACAAATGAATATATTCATATTTGTTTATGTTTACATAAAGTTCAATTTCTCTCTTTCTCTTTCTCTCTCTCTCTATCTCTTTTTCTCTCTTTTTCTCTTTCTTTACATTTTTAGCTGGCTTAATGCATTATGTATGGATTAACTAAAACTAATTTATGTTAATTTATTCATAAAATTATCTTTATTTTTGGCATGTTTATACCTTGTTGATGAATGTTTCTTTGTGGTTTCGTATCGTCCTGCCATCTGTGAACAAATAAACCGACTGGATCTAAAGGAAAATAATTTCTAGTTGATAACTTTGGACGAAAAGCTCTTATGGAGAATTTATAAAAGATATACAAATTGACAAATTGCACTATACAAATGTTTTTATTCTATACATGTTTCAGTTTAGAAGCGAGACTGAACGCGTTTACAATATCAGTGATGTGCGTTTCATCGATCGGTTGGCGAGCCCTCAACCACTCCACACATCTCTCCACCGATTCCGATGACGTCACTATGAAACCTTCGCTGAACATTTCAACTGTGTGCGATACTCTGACCAGCACGGTGATGGTGAGGGTGGTGGTGATGATGATAGTGTTGTTGTTGGTGTTGGTGATGATGATAGCGTTGTTGTTGTTGGTGATGGTGATGATACTGTTGATGATGATGATGACGGTACTGATGATGATAATAATGATGATGATGGGATTAGATTTAAAAGTCGATTGAATTTAGTTAAATGATAAATTTATACATGAATTAAACTTCAATTCACTTTATTCTACTTTAATTATCAAAGTAGAGATTGAATTACAAAAGTGTAACATTCAAACATTACCTCAACACATTGAACTCATTCGTTAAGGAAACTTGCTCCTTAAGAGTTGCTACAATGACATCAAACTGGCTCCTCATGACGTCAGCATCATACGCGTGAACGTCAATTACAATGCAAACCCTTTTCTCTAGAATAATACCGAATGTTCTCCGACTATCCGACATCAACCATCGCAGTCGGTTCTCCAGTAAATCGATTAATTCAAGTATTTGATATTCGAATTGTGTTAGTTGTTGTGGGGATAGGACAAGCTAGAGTGTCGAAATTTATTTTTTAAAAAAGATTTTTGAGAAACCATTCATCTGAAAGGTTCAAAGCAAAGTTATGTTTGTAAAGTTTGAACATATTTTTGGAGCTTAGGCGATTTGAAATTAATATATGTACCAAGATATACTAAATAAACAGACAAACGACACAAAAGAACAAACAAACAAACGGACGAACGAACAAACAAACAAACATTATACGTCTGCCCATCCCTGTTGAAATACCGACGGAACATACGAGTACCGTATCTCGAACATACCGGCATCTTCAAGGCTTCGTTGAAATCTGTAACGTCATCGGGAGTTATTCATTCGTTCGTTCGTTCGTTCGTTCTTTCGTTCGTTCGTTCGTTCGTTCGTGCGTTCATTCATTTTTGCAATCATGTATTCACTCATTTGGTCATTCACTCATTCATGTTATTATATGCATAATTTATCATATTATTTACACTAATTGAATAAATAATGAATATTTTAGCAAATAATAGATAACCACTGCAGTGTTTAAATCCAACACGCTTCAAAATATTCTTCATGTCCAGTTTATTCTTCTCCAGTCCAAATAATTTAATCCATTCTTTTGAGGAAATTTGTCTTGTAATGCGTTCGTCTGACGTTTTTGGTGGGTTGTCGTTGATTTTGTTGTTGTTGTCGTTGCTGGCGTTGTAGTTGTTGTTGCTGATGTTGTACTTGTTGATGTTGTTGTTGTTGATGATGATGTTGGCTGTGGGAATGGTTTTAGTTAATTTTTCCATTTATTTTTGTGTGATTTTTTAAATTATTTCTATTTTTGTTTGTTCTTTGTTGTTGGTGATGATGTTGTTGTTGTTGTTGCTGCTGCTGATGTTAGTGTTGTTGTTGTTTTCGTTCTAACGCTTTTTTGATTGTAGTTGATATTATGTTAACGATGTATCAATCAGTTAATAATTCAATCTTAAATTGTTTTAATAATAGTAATTTAGGTTCAACATAGCTTGTTTACAAAACAAAAAATACTTATATATATATATATGTGTTATTTATTTATTTATGTATGTATGTATGTATGTATGTATGTATGTATGTATGTATGTATGTATGTATGTATGTATGTATGTATGTATGTATGTATGTATGTATGTATGTATGTATGTATGTATGTATGTATGTATGTATGTATGTATGTATGTATGTATGTATGTATAAATGTATGTATGTATGTATGTATGTACGTACGTACGTATGTATCATATATGTATGTATAATATGTATGTATGTATGTATGTATGTGTGTGGTGTGTGTGTGTGTGTGTGTGTGAGTGTGAGCGCGTATATGTATCCCAATTTAGTATCCATGGTAACGCATTGATAGCTTAATTCTTGTTAAGGATTTGCTCATGATACATGAATTAGAATCACGTAATTGTGAATTGTGTTTAGTTTAACGCTTATTTTCAATTTATAATTAAAAAACGATGTCTTGAAATATGGCATGAATGATTGATTGACTGAATAATTGATTGAATGATTGGTTGGATGATTGGTTGTTTGGAGCAAGGCATCGCGACCCTAAGACTTTCTATTCTTATATGGTATCTTTCTGGTCCAGTCGTTTGTTGAGATGAACGAGTGTTTAGACACAGAAGATATAAAAAACAAAATATACACCTGCTGGTCGCCATTCTTGCCTTCCTTTACGATGGTTTATCAGCCAGTTGGTTTTTAATAAGAATGTTGAGCGCTATATGATTTTTTTCTCAGCTAAATAAGTCCAAACAAAATGTATTGATTTATTTTCAAATCGTTATTTTGATAATTTTTATTATTTAAAAAATGTCAAATTGTTCAAAAATAATCTCCAATAAGATTTGCGTATCTTGAATCGATATGAATTGCGATCTAAGTTAGTTTTTCGTTCCAATTATCAAATTCGCATCATCCATTTTTAACCCCAGCGCTAAAATACTACGATCAGTGAACTGCTCTAAAGTCTAATTAGTGAATATTAGTTGAATGTTCGTTAATCAATGCAACTAATAATTAAAAACTTTCAGATCCGAATGTGATGGATCTGCCGAGATCACGGGACTGCAGCCAGCGAATGATGGAAAACAACGACAATCGAATGCTGAAGCCGCAGCACCACTACGACACCTCCATGTTCCACTTCCTATCGAACGAGAACCAGGACAACTCACCGTTCGTTATCCTGCCGAAGAATGATTATGAGTCCATCAAGAAGGAGCTGACGACAGTGAAACAGTCTCTCAGTGACTTCAAGAACCTGGTAACGTTCGAGATCCAACAGTTGAAACAGGACAACACCGAGTTAATGAAGCAAGTCGAAAAGTGCAAATGTGATCAACAGCAGGCTGAATTGCTAAAGAATAAAAATAACAACAACAATAATAACAATAGTAATACCAACAACAACAATAGCAGCAACAACAACAGCATGTGGAACATGGAAAATGGTTGGGAGAACACGAAACCAATGTTTTCCGGGGTGCCCATGATGAATGATGTCAACAACTTATGCAGTCCCATCACATCGACTCCGGATCGTTGTCGAGTCAGTGGTGAAATCACTGACATTAATGCTTCCGGTCTACTTGGAATGCCTAAAGTATTTCTATTTAACTTTTTTGCTAACATTATTTTTTTCTGAATAAATATAATTATGTAGGTTGCAAAAGTTTGCATTCAACATCAAAACCTGATAAATTAAATGGATTTAAAATTGAATTTCTGATGTTTACAGATTGAGTCCATACCTCCACCAGACAACAAACTCGTCCAGCTGCTACCCAATTATGACATTTTCGTCAACAAATTGAACTTACAAATCGTAGTGAACGAGGGACTGTCCCACAAGGACAATGGGGCCCTGTACGTACTCAGAAGGCTGATCCCATTGGTGTTCACATGGGAGGAACTTGCATTTTCGAGGGGGCAGGGACTGAACTGCAAGTCCACCGAAGATGTCTCCAACAAATTCCCACTGGATCCCACAAAAGTTCTTGCTTGCAAAGGTTTGATCTCCACTACTTGCTTGCATTCATGCAACTTTATGTTCCCATGTGTTTTGTATCAACACTGCACATACATCCACATCTACACTCATCTTCACATACACATTACACACATACATACACGTGAACAACACCAACAACCACACACAGCATACATGAGGAAGTTCTGCTTAGAATCGGGCTGCTTGGAGCCCCCGGAGCGAGCTATCAATCAAACGTTCTCCCACCAAGTCAACTATGCCAGGCGACGCATCAGGGACGCCAAGGAACCGAAGATTCCCTCTATGAAGAAGCAGCAGAAAAGAGGTAGGAAACCAAAGATTCGTCTGCAGGGTTTGAACATTTTCTAACATTTTCAACATTTTTTTCTTCAAATTTGACTCAGATTAAGTAAGGATTACTTGGCACTGAGGAAGGGATGGCGACCTCTGCACAATCCATGCTTTATTTATTTCATATCTTCTGGGCCCAGTCTGTTGTCTATATTTTGTTTCATAAATTTATGGTCCTCACTGTTATCCATCTATATTCTGTTTTATAGGTCTATCTATCTATCTATCCATCTATTGTATCTTTATGGTCCATCCACACTTTTATCTATACTCTGTTTTATCTATCTTTTTATCTATCTATCCTATCTATCTATTCTATCTATCTATCTATCTATCTTCTATTTTCTGGTCTCAGGCATTTGTCCATTCAAACAAGCAATGGAGTTCACAAGATACAAAATGAGATAAGAAAGCATTGATGTTGCATGCATTGCTTGGCAGTTTGGCACTGCTTACATTCTACTCATGTTGTCCATCATCGTGCATTAGAGGGCTCTAGTTTTTCTACCCCAGACATGAAAATACATAATGGTACAATTATTTTGTAATAAAGAAAATTATTTTTCTCTCTACCTTGCAGATAGCAAAGATCAAATACCAGAGGTACTACACTTCAACACCACGTTTAACAGTTAATTACTATCTACATAGAATCACCTGACTCTATATTAATATCATTTTTAACGTTCTACTCATCATTTTCGGCATCGTCATTATTATTTTCATCATCACTAAGTATCTTCACTATCATTATTATTATTATTATTATTAGCTTGCTGATCATTACCATCACCGCCATCAACATCACTATCATCAATTTTTACATCGATCATAATCAGATCATCATCGTCATCATTATCACCCATTTCTGATATCATTTCTAAGATGTTATGTGTCTGATAAACACTTATTTTTCATATGATAGTTATTATTATTATTATCACCATCGTTATCATCTTTTTGTCATCTGTTATCATTATTATTACTTACTTACTTACATGATTAAGGATTTAATAACTATTGCCAGTAACATAATGTCTTTTGCATTGTTTGATCTACGTATGTCCCATGTATATACACACATACATACATACAAATGTGTGTACATCATTCATACGTATGTTTGTATATCCAGGTACATACATACACATACAAATGTGTGTACATCATTCATACGTTTGTTTGTATATCTCTGTATGATCTATAATGTTTGCGTTTCGAGTTTGGTCACGTATACACACACACACGCACACACACACACATATGCATACATTCAATACTTTTATAACTACATAACACAGAAATAACTACTAACTCTATCTCTTATTATTGTTAATGCTATAATGATAAATCGAGAGAGAAAAAGAGAGAGAGAGAAAAAGAGAGAGAGAGAAAAAGAGAGAGAGAGAAAAAAAGAGAGAGAGAGAGTGAGATATAGTAGTCATTAATTTTTGGAATAAAATCTATTTACTAACGATAACGTCATTGAAAAAAAACTATATAGATAATTTTTCAGTTTATTATATATATTTATTCTCATATATGTGTGTTTGTGTGTGTGCGTCTGCGTCTGTCAATCTAGTATTCTAATGTTATGTCCAGTATATGATTTAATTTATTAAAGTTTTAATAAGAAATATGCTGTAGTAACTATATATGTATACATACATATGCATGTGTATATATATATATATATATATATATATATATATATACAAGTTGTACAAGAAATAATACAAAGTTGTAGTATTTCTCGTACAACCAGTATATATATATATATATATATATATACAAATATACGAGTATATACATAAACATATACGTACGTATGTATAAGTATATATACTATGAACTATGAAATTTTGTTTCTGAATGTTAATTGAATTTATTTTTGTTTGTTATCTAAATTTATGTAATACTGTCTCTTAATTCATTGTTGCACAAACACACACAGACACAAACATACACATCAACTACTACAACATTGTTACTGAAGGATTTATTATTACAATTATTTACATTCATACATTTGAAAAACCTTTCTCATGTAATATTTGGTACCTTTTCATAAAATTCGAAATGTGTTCTCAAGTGTTAGCGATCTACTATCTATCTGACTAATCATATTCATTAAACAAAAAAGCGAAATATTATCTATTATTAACATTGTGAATTAGGGGACAAATTAAACTTTAAAGTTACACAGTGACCGGGAATTGAACTATAGAACAATAAGCAGTGTATGCGTTGACAAATTTAATTATCCAATTAAAACTGATTAGTTGGCTGGTTGATTTGGTTGGTCAGTTGGCGGTGTGGTGTCGTTGTCCCAGTAGAAATCGTTGTCATTGGTTGGTCTTGAGGGTGGCGGGGCTTGGGGTACGTAGCTTTGAGGTCTACCTGTTTGTGTGTGCGTGTTTTGAGAAGGCTTCTCAATAAATGTTTGAAAAATCACAAATAACTTTTCTTATTTTTTTTTCTTATTTCTTTTTCTCTATAATTTCTTTTTAATTTCATGTGTTTATTGATACAATTATTATTATTGATTAAATAGTATTTTTAGATGTTAAATACAGTTAAATACGTGAAGACTTGTTAATTGGAAGATCGCAATTAATTAAAGTGATCTGAACCACAAAAAAATTCAATCACTACATTCTATTTTCTTCATTGCTTAGTTGAGTTTGGTAGTTTTAGACAGTTTAGAAAATAAAACTGAAGTGAGATTTAGAGTAATTACAAAACATTTTCTCTGTTAGTTTTTTGACAAAGTGTTTTTTGGAGAAATAGACATCATAAAGTTAATAAAAGAATATAATACAAATATAGATTACAAACTAGGGCAAAAATAAATGTATGTAATTGTAATGATAGGAGATGTAGAAACGAGATGTAACAGCAATGCCAGTTTTAAAAAATTTGAAATATATTTGGTGGGGCCAGTTAAAACTTACTCATAAAGATGTTCCTATCGAGGCCCACATTGTCAGGGCACACCTGCAAATGTAACTCAAATGAAGAGGCAGGGATGATGTGTAGAGCATTGAACGGACATGTCTTCTTAGGCTCCCCTATGTATGTCTGGAGATAATTTAATTAAACATTATCTAATATTTTTACGTGACGTACATTATTTATATTATTCTAGTAGATCATAGCATAGAGACTGATAGATATATTAATTTAATATTAATAATTAGATTACTTTATAAATGATAATATTATAAATTATATTAACAACTTTTTTTGAAAAGTAGAATCAAGAAATTAATACTACTAATTCTAATACAAATACATACTATACTTAATACTAACAGTCCGAATGTATCTGATTAGTAATTAGTAACATTAGTAATGTAATATTAGCAAATTAATTTTATTAATTTAATTTTTAATCAGTTGCATTGTTGTTACTTTTTAATTTTTTAAATGATGGTAAATTTTTCAAATATAAATCAAAAATGTTACCTTTTGGCACTTGACTATGTGATAGGACAATCTAGATCGAAGAACCTTGTGCTCCGGATTGTACGGACAGGTCGCAATCTCATCGGCTTTCTTCATAACTTAAATAAATTTAAAAATTGATTAAATAAAATTATATTATAAACTTAAATAAATTAAATTAAAGTTTAATTAATTAATTAATTATTAAACCAACAACTGGATTTAAAAGGAAACTTAGGTAAAAAAGTTATCGAAATAGTAATCAGGCCAACGTCGAATGAGTTTCACAAAAAAAAGCCAAAACGTAGAAACAAAGATTAGATTTAACTTGAAAATTTTTACAAACATTAGATATAAAAACAAATTACATAAACAACAAAATAAACTTAAAATTAGTATATTTTTTGTACAAAATGTATTAGATAATGTCTAATTTCACACCTTCATTGGTATCTCTTACCTAAGTTAACACTCGTCTCGTGTTTTGGTCAGGCCGAGTTGAACGCTTAGAAAAGTTTTTCAATAGCTAGTCAAGTAAATTAGTTTATTTTTGTCAATCTTATTTTTATTTTTTATAAAAATAATTTTGAAAACTTTTACAGAGGTCACAACTTAATTCGAAAATTAGTGATGTCCATGTCTTTCGGTAAAATAATTGTCACGGTGGGAATGATCACGTTATTCCATGCTGCCTACTCAGCTGCGCAGCACAGATCCTACCTGAGAATGACCGAACAGGAATTCACTAATCTACCAATGGACATTTTAATCCAGACCCTGTTTGCTCTTGTACTGACATGTTGTGGGGTCTGCAAAGTTGTCGGGTCATTCAGGGAGATCAGGGCAGTGGCAGATTTAGAAAATAGGACATGGGACTCGATGAATTCGAGGACTTCTTTTTATGTTTTTAATCACAGGGGGAAGAAATTGTTTTCTGAAGAGTGACAATAAAGATCATAATTAAACAATGAGTCATTTTTATTTTACTGTCCTTTGTTTTTGTACATAATTTTCAAAAAAAGAATTATCTATATACAACTTGGCAATTTTATATTATATTTAGGGTTCATTAATTCATTGAATGTATTTGTTAAGCCTGTATTTTCTATGGTTTATAAAATATTTATATAATAAAAAATTTATTTATATCTTATAAAATGCTGTATGCTTATCGTAGTGCTATTCTTCAAAATTGTACTTTTGCCATTCTTATTTTGGTTCAATTGCTCATTTTATTTTCGTTTCACCCTAAAATAATAATCTTCCAAGGAATTTAACCCAAAGGGATTCATTTTCTAGACTAATAGATAGTTATTAAAGTTGTCATTAATGTATATAATAAAAATGATTGACATTGATTATATTATCTTTTTTTCTGAAATAGTTTTCAATGTGCAAATAGTAATTAATGAGCCATAACAACAAACCCTGGTTTATTACATTTTCATTTCATTTTTCTCAAAAAAATTCATTAAAAAACATCTCAAAAATAATATTAATAAAATAATATAAATAGGTTGTTGAATTATCTCAAATAATTTACATGGTTATTTATATTGAGTTGAATTAATAAAATATTTTAATACTGCAACGTACACACACGTACACACAAACACATACATTTAATGATCAGTAAATTAACTACTTGATTTCTGCTCTTAACAGATAGATCGGCTCACGCACGCACACACACACACTTAAAATTATATTGATATGACGATGATAAATAATTAAGATGATTAATAAATAGTTAATGAGGTGATATGATTGATTAAATTAATTAATTATAGTAATAAAATTAAATTAATTAATTATAGTAATAAAATTGATAACATTAATAGCATACATATGCTCTGTGTGTGTGTGTTTGTGTGTGTGTGTGTGTGTGTGTGTGTGTGTGTGTGTGTGTGTGTGTGTGTGTGTGTGTGTGTGTGTGTGTGTAGTTGATTTTTTGATAACTTGAAAAACGCTTGTAAAAGAAAATATGTCAAACGTAGTTAGTTGTAATGTTATTTGAAATGAACTTGTCATAAAATAAATATGTCGTTGTTAATTATCTAAATTAATTGGTCATCTAATATTTAATTGGTTTTAATAAGAAGTTATAGCAAACAAACTGGAAAACAGAAACATAAAAACGCATTTAAGTTTAAAAATCCTGAAGAAGAAAATCTAAAAAAGAGACATTAAAAACCCAGCCAAGCAAACGAAAATAGAAAAAAATGACGTCATTAATGACGAGTTAATTATGATAATTAGTTATAATTATCAGCAATTAATGTCAACTGATTAATTAGAAAAAACATTTGCAAGCTAGAATCAAAATTTGCGCTTTTGTGTAGAAGAACTGTGGTTAAAATGACGATGGTTAGGTCGTGTCCGCTTGAAATAGGGCTGATGATAATAAAGATGTAGTGGTGATGAAGATGAGGACGATGATGACGACAAATAAAAATGTGATGATGTGATTGATGACGGTGATGATATTAATCACAATCCGATAATGATGATGATGACAGTCACGATGATGATGATGATGATGGTGGTGGTGATGTAGACACTAGCTGGTGGGTCTTATTGATCATGAAAGCCCTGTACATGCTCTCAACGTACATGAAGACACATTTCCAATCTGGATTCTTCATCATCACCATATCCTCCACGTCCAATAACCGGGGTATGCTCGCTTGCTTCCTATTGGTCAGTTGAATTGAAGGTTAAGGTCGTATGTTAATTCGAATTCATTGACGTTTACATTTCAAATTACATTACATTTCAAATTGCTTGTTGGTAAGTCGGTTATCGTTGATAGTGATGACAAAGATGTTGATGATGACGACGATGATGATGACAAAGTTTATACACAAAAATCTCTAAGGATTATTAAGAAAATCAAATTCTTCGACACTAATCATGACTAACTCTGCAATATCGAAAGCGAGAGTAAAGTTGTGCCGGGTATTTTGGGGGTCCAGGGATGTGTAGTCGAAACTATTGGGCAAGAAGTGGTGTACTATGGCGCAAAATGCCATGCCATCATTCCAACTACTCGAAAAGTTCGTTACGTTGACGTTCTGCGTAGTGTGTGTATATGTATGTGCGTGTGTGTGTGAGTTTGTATGTGTGTGTATGTATGCGTGTGTGTGTGTATAGTTTATTCGTATTTACGTCTTTATTGTGTACGTAGACTAAGAATGTAAATTATTGTAAATGTATATATGTATTTGCATTCGAGCGTGTTTGTTTGTGTGTGTTTGTTTGTGTGTGTGTGTGAGTGTGTGTGTGTGTGTGTGGTGTGTGTGTTA